TGAGAGCTGGAAGGAATAAGATAAATGAGGTTGATCACGACGAACTGATTGTTTTCCTGCTGAAGAATGGTTAGGATATTAGTGCTCTGTAGTGGGTTGCAGCAGTTAGTGTTATATTTTCTTCTGTCTTCTCAATTGTGATGAATAAAGACAAGACTTGATACTCAAGTAATCTCTAAAACAGTCTGTGTCATGATATTTTGAAAATAGGTAATTACCGATGCTATACACATTGAATATCTTAATACATGGCTTCATACACACCAAGAGATGATCCCTAGTGAGAATCCGAAAAAAGTACAGGAATGAAATCCCTTGTCAGTTGCGTATTTTGCCAGCAGCATGTTTCCAACTACAGCTTTAGCCTTTTACCTGCAATGCCGTAATCGTTCCAAATGCATTCCGCATATATTCTTATAATATAATGATAATGCATATATTTTAAAGCTCTGGTATCTGGTGAACGCTGCTTTTATGTAAGTTGTCTCGTAGAAAAAGCATTTATGTTTTTATGAATCATCACTCTATCATAGCGTGCAAATTGTTTCACAACAAATAAAAGATGTTAGCACTGTGTGGTGAATTTAGAATATTGACCTTGTGTTTCGTTAAGCGCAGTGTAGTTCATAAAGGCGAATATCTAAGCCGAATCTAATATTTTGTTCATATTTTGTCTTTTCACGTCACAATATTACCTAGGTCGTTCGTTTCAGCGTGAAGACGAAAGTTGGCGTTTTTTAGTCGCAAATAATTGGGCTTACATGTAAATAGAGCTTAGCAGGAAAATATATTCGAGACTAACAAGTGCTATATATATATATATATGTATATATTAGTCTAATTTACGAAAAGGTCAATGATAAAGCTTTTATTTGTTGTCATTCTCATTGAAAGTTCAAAAAAAAAAAACAACTGAAACAAGCGATAGACGGGCGTTACTTAACACTAATCGTGTAGTATTGTTCCATATATATATATATATATATTAGTCTAATTTACGAAAAGGTCAATGATAAAGCTTTTATTTGTTGTCATTCTCATTGAAAGTTCAAGAAAAAAAAAACAGCTGAAACAAACGACAGACGGGCGTTACTTAACACTAATCGTGTAGTATTGTTCATGGTAAGACTTCTTAGTACCGCAGCCGTTTTCATAGAGACCAGTAAATCCTATGACCATTATTTCCTCTAATCATTGGCCTCCCTATCAGATTCCACTTACATGGCTTTTAGGTCAACTGCTACTCAACAAATGGCGAAGATCACAGGCAGGCTTTCACTATCACGAAAAAGCACTCGGATACGTTTGCTGATTTTTTCTATTAAATTGAGTAATTCCAACTTTTTCGAAAAACTGAAAAAATCGCTCGAAATTTTTAAATTTTCACCAAATTTATGCATGCGTTTCCTTGAATAGGTATAACTATGTCGGTTAAACTCAGTTTAACTAGTTGGCAGTAATGTTAATACAGACAATCTGAAATTTCAAAGCTTATAAAAAACAGTGCCAAATAGGTTTCTGACGGTCAGTCGACAGCAATTCTAGCTGCTCTGGAGTACACAAGATGAGTACACAAACCTCAGCATTCACAAGTCTTGTCTCCAACCTTTTTATATTTTTCAAGACTCTCTGGGCGTTTTTCTTCCCGTAGTAATTAATACAAGCCTCACAGGTAACTTTGGTTTATGCTTCTTTCTCATAGTCTTACTTGACGTTAGGCTCACCTCGATTTAGTTTGAAAGTCATTGCAAGCATTTACGGTTATTACACTTGTACACGGATTTTTTTTTGTATGAAATGTTTACTACTAAAGCGTGTGTTCATATATAAGTTGACTATCTATTCTCTTAGTAAGGAGGTTTAGTATGACAGACCTAGCTTGTCCAAAACTGATGTCCAATTTTCAGGTAGTTGAATTTTTTCGTGAAATAAAATATGGAACCAATATTTTTGAAACATCTATATGAATATTTGTTTTCGAAATGTGTTACCTAGTAAGTTAAACTTTCCTCGAACCAACAGTGAAAAGCAACACAAGGATCTTTCATGTTTACTATTTAAATCTGCACCCAGATTTGCTGGGCTGCTAATTAGGCGATATCAGGAACTGACGGCGATATAGACGATTTCTGAAAATTATGTGCCTCACAACACTTTGCGAAAACATCAACCAGTACTAAATAAAATATTTTTGACTCAAAACATCTTGCATTTTGGTTCTAATAGTAGGAAATCGTTAAACAACGCGTGTGCACAGTCGGTGAATGTATACCGAAAAAATAGTGACCGTTTTTCTAATTAAATGGCTTTAAAGTTACATATTTCAGATGATATAAATCGCATTGGATCGTCCCGAAATTGTTGGAACGGCTTTATTCAGATTTAAGATAGGGCGCCTTGAAGACGAGTTTATGCAAAAGTTCGCACCCCATTACAGTTTTATAATAGGAAAGGCACAAACGCTGTAGAGACCCATAAAAAAAAAGTTACCCTGTTGATAGTCGAGATGTGTTATTGGAACGAACAAACCAAATATAATTCTATTGCTTTCGTTATGGAAAGGTCGATGCAAACAATGCTCCTTGTAGTAGTCTTTTTTTAAATTTTACAAAAGGAATACATCGTGCATTATGAGTCATTGCCTAGCACAACGATTGATTCGGACCACTTTCGTTAACAACTAATAATATTACAACAGGTCACTGAAAAAAACCAAAGAATGTAATTAGAAACCGAGAATAAAAACGGAATTCGCAATTTTACGAGGTCTTTCGCTGTCGTACGCATTTTCCGATACGATCAACTTGTTCGGCGTATCCAACTTAACCTTTTGTTTTTTTTTAAAGAAGATAAGATTTGCGAATGTGATACTAAGTAACGATCTAAATTAAACCGGTCAGATGGCCGGATACTTAGAACGGTACTTTTGGTCGACGGGATCGAGGATATGTTTGGGCCAGAAATGCCGCGAAAGCTTGGAAATAACGTTAGGTAGCTTAACAGCGAAACTCGAAAAGATTGCTGGCCTATCTTCTTTAATCATATTATCGTTATATTGTTGTTAATCGTTAAATAAACTACGTGCGTAATATCACTCGATCTAAACCTGGTATGCAGATATGACTGCAAAATTTATAATCTCATAAGGATCATAAACTAATCCAGGGATGAGCTGAGTTGTTTTGCATAGGTAAAGTTAAGTCGAATAATTTTACGAGTTGTTCGTGATTTCAAAACTAGTATTTGCGTCTATGCATAGATGGCACGCGTGCCGGAATCCTACGAAATCCGAGACGGTATCTCTCGTTCAGAGAATTAGTTTTAGCTCAGTTAAATCGGCTTAGTCTAATTTGTTAATCTGCAAAGAACAATATAGACATCCGATTAATGCGCCACCTTGTATGGCCTGCAGACGCAGAGTACGTAAGATTCAGAGCACCCGTCAGAATGCGTTTACTTGGTTAATTCTTCGAAGACACATTATAAAAAACTACCTTTTTCAGAAAGAGGCTTCACCAAGGTCACATTATGACCAAAAGATGTAATTCCAGCGATAACATTGACTAAAAATTAATAAAGATTGTACTCTCTAAAACTGTCAAACAAACTTTATCTTCCTTTCTAGTTACGAATTTACCTCAAAACACCGTTGGCCATATCTGTCCAAGGTAATATAAACAATTTGATTTTCAAGCCATAAAACTGCTCATTATTACTGACATCGAATGAAATCTAAGAGGTAACCCAGCACATCTATAACATATATGATGCAGTTATATTGCATGCGTATCTCATATTGCTTATGCATTAATTTACTAACAAGCAATTAACTCTGATAGTTGTGGTGGTTCAGACGCATTTAATGGCTATGGAAGGCATGTTTTGTACTTGTCACAAAGGGCACTCGGGCTCTTTAGACTCTGAATCCATCAGAAGAGCGATACTTGCCTTTTGCTTAACTGATTTACACAGTTGTACGAATATACATAGAGCAATTCATTCTTGTAGTCAGAATGGTTGCCATGATATGGTTTGGCTGACCTCGGAACGGTTCTTGACGTCCTATTGTTATGCTACTCTATTTTTTGATACAGATATATAGTTTGATGGGTGTTTTTCTATATATTATATCATGGAAACACTTCTTTATTTGTAACCTAGAACTACCTAAATAGATGTTCTCACTTAGCTGGTAGTGAATGTTGTGCGCGCAGGGACACTAGATCGACTTAAAACAAGCCCAAGACAATTTTTATAATATCCAAAACTTCCGCCGCAAGACCGCCAACATTTTCTGTGTAAAAGTGTAAATAGCTATTTACTATCAGCGTCGCCTCTATTTCTGCAAAAATGATACTAACGCTTATGGTAACATAAAATGTTTTCCCGGTCCTTCCTACTTTGTAGCTGAGGTTAATTCAATTAATTAAAAGATGTACACATATCTATGTTTTGACGTTTTTAGCACGGTATAATGAAGTATGAATAGGTAAGTAAGGGTTACAGAGGAGCGGTTGTAACTTAAGTGAATATGTACAACACCGAAATAGATTCTGAGTCCAATGGGTGCACACTACCTATGGGTGTAATCCAAACCTCAAAGGTTTTATTACCCAAGTTTTGCAAGATTATTCTACTATCGTTCACTTTTCTATGTCTGTTTTTCTGTTTTTCAGTAACATATAATTTTTTGTTCTCTTGATAGTTACTACTTCGGAATATTTATATCTTAATGTATAACTTACGTTATTTTATACTTTGTCAGAACTATTGACCCTAAAATATATGATATTAGGCATTTTTTTTTTTGTGATGTATTGGTCATTTTCCTATATGATTGCGATACTGTTTTTTCGTACTTTCCTTCATGCATTGCAGGCATGAGGTGTTCACTGGTAACCAAAACGCAAAAATGATTACTAATGGTGCAGTCAATAGAAAATTACTCTCCAAATGTAAACCGTAGTACTCGTTCAATTTGTTACCATTTTAATTTCTAGGAATTGACAACGTTGGCGAAGCTTATTGCTGCAGCGAAAACTCTCATCGCCAAAAAGAATCGGTTTTCAACAGGTTTGTGTGTGCTATTTCAGGCCATTTACTGGTGAACATACCGAGAAAATTCTCTTATTCGACCAGAAGCCTATGAAGTCCAACAGGCGCTCCTAGAAATTAAATTAATCAGTTTCCTAGAGTGTGCTTATTATCTCCCTTGAACATTTAGATGATTAAGGAATTTGAGAAATCAAACGAGATGATATAGAGAATTGAGTAGCATATCTGCGAATTCTAAATGTTGTATACCATCTCACCCATCAATCGATATCACGATATTTTAAACGACTGAAACATATTTGTCTGAGCGATATTGAAAGGATGATGCTTCTATCAAACTTCAATTCGACCAGATGATGATTTTACAGCTCCCTATATAGCTCCATATGAAAAACCGGAGTACCGAACCATTACGCAAAAGCAGTAAAAAGGTCGAAATAATATTTTAAAATGAAAAAGTGATATCCATAAAAAAATATGAAATTTTCATTTTGTGAAGAATAAATATGTGTCAGATATTGAAATGTTATCATTTAAACTTGTAGGTTAAGCCTTAACCATTTGAGGTTGTATTGAAGTAATTGGAGATAACAAAAAGGGTATTTTAAAACCTCATTTGGGCCTTAGACCAGTTAGGAATCCAGGCTAATAATTAAGCAGTGAACTCTGGTTTCCATAATAAATTACACCCTTTCCTCGTTTATGCGGTATCATGTATAACTAACTCGTTTCAATTAAAATCAGTCAAAAATTTTGACTCTTCGTAGCAGTAAAGAAACCGTCTTTAGTGAAGGCAATGATAATAGACTGTGTGCTTCAGTTATGTGAATCGTGTGAATATGCTTTGCGTGATATGTATAGACGAAAAAGGGTTATACGGGCCAACATTTATTCAACTCTGTCGTAAAAAACAACCGATGCCACGGTAGAAAAACAAATTATACCAGCATATTTGTCAAAGACTCTTCTATTTTGGGACCTAAATTGGGACACTACAGTTCATCAATTTTTTGAGAACATATCAGTTGAAGGCACCTACTTTATTGGTCCATATAGTCACACAAAGTATGATTAGTTGGGCCACATGAACAACTATATAGGCCACCAACGGTTTTATGCAAAGAGGCGAGTCACTCAACAAAGTCAAAGGAAATCGGTTTTCCTTCTTGTTGTCCACCCAATTATGATTGTGATCAGAAGAGACGATGCTTTATAATCCTCACAAGCAAAGTAAGCAAGTCAAATATGAAGTTTTGTTGCGCAGTGCGGATCCGGGATTTTTAAAACCCAAGTCAATAAGTAATTCGGGATTGTCGAGGAACTGAATTTTGTTCGATAGGTGAGGACAAATATTAACAAAGTGCACACCGTTCTTTAGGGCGAACCTGACGGCACTGAATCCTGTGAAACTTTAGTGATTACGCACGATTCTAGTATAAGTGACTCTCCATGGTAAATTGTTAGCCCTGACTGTAGTCATCCTCAATATAACTCAGTGTAATGACGTTTATATATAATATAACTCAGTGTAATGACCTTTATATATCATAACCTGATTTCAGTTTTACCAAACTATATATATATATATATGCATAGCTTGGTATATATAAGATATATATCGTCTAAGTTTCGCGTAAAAACAAAAAGCGTGAATTAGCGTTTTTGTTCTCTTCATAAAATCGACAATCAGGAAAGGACGATAAACATAGCAGGCATGATGTTGAATGTGCATAACAGTCTTTTCTTAATTATTAACAATCAAAAATCGGCACTAAGCTTTAACATGTAATGAACGATATAGATACCATGTGTGATAGCTACAACTATGCCGTCGAGGTTCATCGTGTAGATGATGTATTTGCTTGCGTGAGTAAGGCACATTGTGTGGTGCAAATGCGAGGCGTGATGATCGCGCTAACTCGACATAATTACAAATAGCCTCTCCGCCACAAATGATCCACATTCGCCACAAAACAGCTACACCGTAATTGGGAAACACTCAAAAGACGGTAGCTCTAAATGTTACCGTTCCCCGAGCCGCTACCTCGGTTTGTTGAATTTTCGGTGACGTACTTTGCCAGTGTGAACAATGCTATCCGATTAGTCTTTTCATTTTGTATACGTCTGCCCATGTCTCTTTTTTTCTGGGCAATACACGTGGGTGGATATTCTTAGATAAGTAAATAGTGAACAAAACCTATGAATAAATGAATCAATGTATCGGCTTAAATTCACTTGGGCGGAATATTTATTTTAGTGAAGTCACTGTTTACTTATTTAGCTCTCAAAATCTCTTGAGAGCCGTTTAAGTTTAGCAAAGCGTAGTACTAAAGGACCTTTATTTACTCGTGATAATAACGTCTGTCTGCAAAACGCACAACCCATTTTATTCAAAGTTTTATACAATAATAAAAATGAATGCGACATACAAAGCGATACTATGAAAACCTCTTGTATGATTTTTACGCTTTTATCGTGTATATTTAGAAGCGAGTTGATTCGGGTGTCGGACAATTTATGGATTTATATTTACCTAATTTACACAGGCGGGCGTGATCGGGTTTTTTACTATGCGGGTACTGCGTTCACTAAATTACAATTGATTTACGTGAAACTCGTAAGAACAGAACTACGCTGCGTAAAGTATAGCACCTCTATCATTAAACATAGCACTTTTACACTTGCAGATAAAATAATCCTTGCTTAATATTAATATTGCCCCTTGAGACACATGCAGATCGAAACTAATATAATTATTTGGTACGAATTCTACTTCGTTTGAAGTAATTAAAATGGCCACACCTTTGAATACGACATAGTCGACTCTGTTTTTTTATCATCCCTGATACGAAACGTTCATTTACATTTTACATTACCGTGCATTTACATTTATATGTAGAACTGAGGATTTTGATCATCTATGTCCTAGTTTGCGTCTCACTCAACTATAAAAGTAGATAAACGGGTTTCTTGTAATTTTGAACAAGCAGTGTAGAGTTAATTCGACAGAAATTGAATTTTTATTAATTATCATTAGCGTCAAAACTTTACTTAGTAAATAAGAGTATAATAAGATCTTTTATACATCTTTTATACAGATTTATTGAATAAACCATACTATGCAGCTACCATATGCCTTAACTGACGTGTAGGTGCTCAAATTTTCATGTGAGTAAATATCGGGCGTGAGTAAATAAATAGATGGATTGTTGTTAGGGGCATCAGTACTAATGATTAATCGGTTCTGCTTAATTCTGATTTAGTTAGAAAAAAATGTTATGGCCTATATAACCTATAATCTGGCCGTTTATTTAAATATTATCTCGCACATAAAAATAATTTGTTATGTCTAGCGGTTGAGCTGGTGGAATGCGTCATGCATAAACATTGATTACAAAGCTTCCCATTCTACTTAACCGTTTAAAAACTTTATTTGACCAATACTGCATGTAACGTAATTACCTTCCTTTTCTCTGAGATTCATCACATAATTAGGTTTTCCTTGGTTTCAATTAACTGGAAAACTGGTCTCAACTACTGCGTACTCGCCATTCATTTACACAGCAGATTTAAGCAACACGTTTCAGGTTCTAGTGATATCCCTTCAAAATATACCAACCTAGATATACCTATTGGACATATGCCATTTGTCGTTGTAGCATATCCCATAATACTATTACTTATTTCTGCAACGTCATGGGGTCATGGGTCGTACTCATTAAGATAACAAAAAAAAGCAAAGGATATTTTACACGTTTCTTTTAATTAATAATATTAACTTGCCTGTGTTGTGTCTATACACAAGATGAACAAGGTAAAGAGCAACAATTGATACGTGAGCTTGTCATTTCATACACAATCGTGTTGCTAAAAAACATTTAGCTTCTTAAGCTACTCTCTTTAGTTCCCTATTTATTTCTGCAGCTCTACTCATCTGGCGTATGTACTGCCCCCGTACGAACAACCACGTAGCTGTAAGCCAGATAGCCGGTAAGTGCTATCTTTGTCCAAACAAAATTAACGATTAACAATCAAAGTGGAAGGAACATCAAAGCGTCGATCCATTGTAGGTTTAAGCTTCTGCAAGTGGTATTATATAACCGCGTATTGTTAGGAACAGAGGCATCCAGTAACCTCAGCAAAACATCAATATCAACGGGGGCAGCATATCGCAGCTCTGAGGCTCTTACTCTGCATAGAGACCGAAGAGGGACTAATTTAAGCAGCTGAGTTAACAAAGAACTTGTTCCGTCTCTCAAAGGCCGAGGATGTGGCAGGCAAGCGAAGAGCAGCGGACAAAGTGTACGCGGGAGACAACATAACGATGATGTTATTTCGCTTTTTGAGACGGCAAGATGATTGCATGTGAATCGATAACGCCAACGACTGGAAAGGGCTGGCAATGAAGGCAAAGCGGAGATACGAACAGAATCGTGGATGGAGTGGACAAGTATACAGATAGAGGAACAAACGGTCAGAAGAATGACAACGGTTAGTCGCTGTTACTATTACAAAATTGCCGCTGTTAGTGCGACATTTTTCACCAGCTTTGTTTTGTCTGATGACAGAAATTGTTGCTTTTGCAGCGACCGCTTTTGCCATATGGCTTCAGACGATCAACAAGGTCTGAAGCAGACATCATCGTCTGGCCGAATGGACGACGATTTTGTTGTAACAACAGATCTAGTGACCTAACGAAAACAAGAAGCTTTCTGTCGTTATCTTAAGTAATACTATACTCAAATTAAAATAAAATGATTATTGTGACTATGCGAATCAATTTCTGTTATTTGTTAGCTTAGTAGTCACTGTTCAGGAGATATATATTCAGGAGAAAGGTAATAGAAAGACAATAGTAGCACATGAAATTAACAATAAAGTAACTACTTTCTATCGCCCTTACTACATAGAACTGTCCTTAGTTGTTTTTGTAACTGTCGCTTTCTAATCGAACGCAGATAAAGGTAAATTCTTATATTAACAACACCTTCTTTAAGATGGAATATACTCAATGGTTTTCACGATTCAAAAAAATGCGTCAAGTGGCAATGCCAAAAGTTTCTCATTACGAAGAGCGGGGATACTACATATTAGGTTGCGCGCAAATCACTATCGACTGGCATACAACACAAACGAAAATATTCTGATATCAAATCAAGGTTTTATTTATCTACATATACAATGCGTAAGAAACACAAACGGCAATGACTACAATTAAACAAAGCAGCAGCAGTCTAGGAAACGTTATAGAATAATTTTTATCCACCTACCATAGATGGATAAGACGGTAGCGTGGCTAGCACCATCGTTTTTAGCTAAAAAATTAAATGTACTCAACAAAAATAAAAGAACGTGTGATCTTAAGCAGATGTTACTTTTCAACAATAAAAATCACCTTTGAATATAAAATATTTTTCACAATGCATTTGAGATGACTTAGTCTGGAAATATTTCTATATACCAAAGGCTCGCTAAGAAAGACAATATCTTTTTGAGATCATCACGTACTCTGCTTGAGTCTTCTCTATTAAAGAAATGTCAACTGGTACAAGCTCTATGCATACAGACGTAAGTGAATATTGCACTATCTTCAATGGAAATTCACTCTAAAGTTCATGTGTTCGGTCTGCGCTGTATGGTTTTTTAAAGCAAACAGAATGGTGAGGTGCCCCATTCAACCCTCTCATAGCGAGTACTACGCACAAATCGCATTGTTATGACCTTTGTTCATATGGTAGCGCAAAATATCCGTATAGAGTAAGAGACTTCTAATGAGTCTGCTAGCCTCAGGGGAGTTTCACTATTTGGTACAACAGTGTCAATTAAATAGTTCTATAATGGGAAAATGCCAGGTCATAAGTACTCCCACTCTGACGGATCTAGTTGCTGCGGTCAGACTGCCCTATGATATATTATAAATCTTCATTCAACTGATGATTGGCTATCTGATCGATGATCAGAGTCTAGCAGATTTCAATTCGACACCAATCTGCGTGCTGAAATGGAATTACCTTGTAACTGGAGGATCGTCCAACTATTTGTAGTTCACTGGTCATTTGAGGCTAATGCCAACGCACCCGTGCTATGAATCGGGTCTGATATATAACATAAATTCGCGTTGTACCCGTACGTTAAAGCATGAAGTATGGAAAGCCATCTAAGATTTTCATATGTTAGGCCTTATATGCATCTATACTAGTAGTTGTAGTATTCCGGGAACTGCTTTATAGCAAAACGGTATGTACTTCCACCCAAGCTGTCTAAAATAAGCCAAAGTAATTATCTGTAAAATCCGTAAATACTTTACACGTTTTGAGGTTTATAGGTCCTTTATACGTTTTTCGTATTTTATTATTATTCTTTGTTCGCTATTTGACACAACAAAAATGGTCCAGCAGACCGTTGTGAAGATTTTTTATGTATAAGAACTGTACAGTTATTTTCTGGATCCGATAATACGTAACTAAAGAAGAACCCAGCTTTTAAGGACATTAATATGTATTATATTTGTTTAAGTTTTCGTACAATGTTCGGCAACTCTCCTGTCACCTGTAAATATTGTCTGCTTCTATTCCACTATCTAAGGATAGAGAGCAAAATGTTCACAATACCAAACAATTCTATTTATATATATGATACACATAGATCTACTCTCAATGATCGCCACGAACAGATATGCATTTGTGATCGTCTACTTTTCAAATTTGACTTTGAATTTTTTTAGTGTGAAATTGTACATACAGAAAGAAAGGTATATATAATGATTCTAAATGTATCCCACAATACAGTCATTGAAATACGTATGTCTCTTGTGTATCGACACTTCCGTGTACATTGGATTTGGAGAATTCATTTGATGAGCCACTAATGAATCCTGTAATGACTAACAAAACATTATGGTGTTAATGAAAAGACGACGACACTATTATAAAGTTGCGTTACTAGTTCGTGGCTGTAACGAAAATAAAGGCCAATTATAGGACAATGTCGTCAGAATAAAACTGTTGATTTAAGAATCATCGTCGCGCTTTGAACGTTTGTGCTTTGATGATCTTCTATCGTCATCTTCTTCATCGTGTCGCCGAGACTTTCGGCTTGACCTGAAACACATAGCATATATAGTCAATTTAACAAATAGATAATCAATTTTGTATTCAGGTCAACTCGAGAAACTAACACAAAGCATACTTATTCTTGTACTCGAAATCTGACTTTAGAGCTTATGCCTTGCTGATATTCTTTTTACTAAAACTCACACCCTTACAGGTTACAATATTCTCGCCTAACTTTCCTAAGTAGAGGTAAGGAAATGCCTGGTGTGAAATAAACCAACCTATGCCGATCGCTATCTCGATCTCGGTCACTGCGGTCCCTATCTGATCTGTCCCGATCTCGATCACTCCGGTCGCGCTCACGACGATCCTCACGATCTCGTCGATCATCTCGACTATCCCGTTCGCGCTCCCGTTCACGATGTCTTCTTTCCCGTTCTTCACGGTAGTCACGATCGTCACGTTCATCGCGAGACCTGCAATGGAAATGACCGAGAAAGCGAATCACAGAATACAGATAAATTATATTTAAAGTACACTCAATGTTTACAGGTATAAATTAAAACGTTGAGCAGACATGTTACAAACGGGCGCTCTTCGGACATGTTGCATGGAGCAAAAACATGGAGCATGTTTTTTTCATTTATATAGTTCTGCACACAATAAACAGTGCTTATTTTTTATTAGCCTTTGAATTATGTATGAGTGTGGTATATACGTTGACACCACTGCCAACAGAATTAACTCGCCAAGGTCTTACAAACCTGTGGTGTCTTCTCCGTTCGTACTCAGCTGCGAGATCGTCCATCGCTTGTGGACCGCTGCTCATTCGTCCGCTGTCATCCCCCCCACCGGCTCCGTTGTTACCAGCACCCCCACCTCCAGCTCCACTGGTCCGAAAATCGCCGGGACCTGGCATAATTGGTGGCGGCATATTAGGCATAGGTGGCGGCGGGAGACCAAGTGGAGCACCGTATGGGTCGAACGGTGCTGGTGGTATGCCAGGTCCGTCCAATGGAGAAGGTATCAACCCTCCTGGTGGAGGAAATCGTGGATCAAACGGAGGAGGCGGCATCGAGTGTGGATCGTATGGGGGCATTGGATGGCCGACGTTAGCAAACTGCCCGGGGAAATGTGACGGTATGTCATTTGGTGGACCGCCCATCATCTGAAAACAGTATCGTTGCTTTATAGTCACACCCGTATTTCAAGAGCTAGGTATAATATCAACTTATGATTCATTAAGATTTTGGAAACAGATTAGTAAACGAAAATGTCTAGATTCTATTATTATAGATTCGGTAGAAATATTGGGAAAATGGGCTCGCATTCGGATGCTACGCACATGCGATATTTCACGCTAACAATGTAAGAAACATGTAATTAATATATCCGTATTAGTCAACAATTATTAAAATATATAAATAGGGTTCATATCATAATATTTTTGTGAAATTTGTCTACTTACCGGTGGAGGTGGTCCTGAGTCGTCGAGAGGTGGCGGTGGCCCCTGGGGTGGTCGGCGCGAATTTGAGTTGGCTCCGATCACATCGATGGTTCCCCCAGTTTCTCGCTTTGACCCTCCTCCTATACCTCGTGGACCGCCACCGTACGATTCCTTTGGATCCCTCGAACCGCCATAAGATGGACGATATTTCTCATAGCCACCTCCTGGCCCACCCATAGTAGAAGGCACCTGATTCACCATACTCTGTAATACATATACAGACGTATATGGAAATAACTCAGTTAAAAATGAAGGCAAAGACTCAATCATCAGTGGAAGCTTAATTTAACCATCATCTGCGGCCGTCGTTCATTTCAACACTCCCCCCCCCCCCCCAAAAGCTTTTAATAAATGACGGGAAAGATACTTTTTAAAGACACTTACTTCTACTAAAAGCGACTAAAATCTTGGTGAATATTTTCTTATCTAAGTGATACGCATTGCAGACAAACATAAAAACGAACCTTTACGCCCTGTATATTATTGTCACCCCGAAGCCTTCGTTGTCGGTCACAGTAAATCTTCCAAGTTTCCTCAGTAAATCCATAATTGAAATAATCCGTAATATCTGCTCCCGGTTTGCGCCACGGCTTCTCCTCAAGCGAATCAATATTAAACTCGTAAATATTCGTACCTGCAGCAGCATAATGTCGTCAAGTAGCGCAATTAATGAACGTGGCAGGTTACGTCATATAGAGAGATACCTTCACCTTCTCAGTCTCCGTTGAAATATGTATTCTATACTAATATCTGCGTGTATTCTATGTTATTATTGGCTTCTGGGGTTTTTAGAAAACATGCTTTTGATAACTGACTTATCTTCATAGCATTTTTCCATTATAGCCAAATGCTTTAACACTGACCTGTCAATCATATCGTAAACTCAGTTCAAATTTAGAGTAATTTGCTCCTACGAAAATAAGTTCACGGTGTTCTCGACCTTTTAATGCGGCCACTAACGACTAGCTTGACCACAAGGGGTCTGAGAATTTATAAAAAATTAAAAAGCACACTGTTGTTACTCTACCTACCATTAATAGATGCAACTGCATCAATATCTAATCCTTTGTGCGTTTGCTTGACAATTTGCCCACCGGTTGCCCCCAGACCAGTGACAGCTGTAGTGCCACCTCCAATACTTTTTTTGATGTTTAAATTGACGGGCGCTCCAGCGGTGATCCCGCTGGAGACAGCGCTTGCCGCACCCCCTGGTGGAACTGGAGCCGATTTCGTGTCACCGATTGTGACCTGTAAGAAAGTTTCGTCGTCATCTGCCGAGCTAGAAAATAATTTTGCTTACCTTTACCATCATTTACTTGAATGTTACGAAAGTATCGTTTAGATCTTTATTTGTGATCGTATACAATAAATAAAGCATATTGCATGACTATCTAATCTTTACCGAATGAAATTCTTTTTTTTATAGATGCTTTCAAGATTGAATATATATGAGTGAAAAGGTAATTTTTAATCATTATAATACGTGAATTATAAATGGTAGACTAAGGACAAAGCGTCTTACAAGTCTTAAGAAACAGCTTGAAAAGGTTTGTTTATTATAGTGCGCGCAATCGTTTTCTCACCTCAATCTCATCTTCGTCATCATCATCATCATCATCGTCGTCGTCGTCTTCGCCCTCCTCGAGGTCCTCTTTGTTTGCTTTATCACTTTTGCCGTTCTCCTTTTCGCCATGAGACTCTTCCACCAGCGTCACCTGCTGTTCCTCCTGCGAATCCTCTCCGGGAACGCCCTGCGTAAAAAAAACAACAATTTAAACGAAAATAATTGAAAAACAAGAATATTCCAGAATCCGTTTGTTCCAAAAACATACACTTGTAGACAGTGTTATAAGGCAATAAATATGAACGCGAAAAGATCGTCTTCCACAACATCAAAATTTACTAATATTAAGTGCATGATTTTACGAACATTTTCAAACTTTTTAATAAGGCTCGTGTTTACTGTGGAACATGTTTTGCCCCATATATATATATATATATATATGGGCGTGTGTGTTGGCTTTAGGTGACATGTAAATTGCACGAGAAAGAATAATAGTGCACTAGGAGTTCTATAACCTTACGGATAAAATGCTTTGAATTTTGCGTGCTCAACCAAGTATACTCTGCTGTTTTTGTATTCCAAAAAAAAACTAGGTACTCACTGGTTCTTGAGAAGAATCATCGCCCGGCGGTAAAACATCTGTCTCTTTTGACTCGTACAGCCAAGCTTCTTCATCACCGCCGCCAGCTCCAGGCGGAATTGTTGACGCGGCACTCATTGCACTTTCAAATATTATAATCAAATTTTTAGCATCAAAAGTGCCACGAAAACTAATTTGAACCAGGATGTGTAAAAGCAAGGTCGTAGGACGGTAAAAATACGTCTTCAAATTAAGCTCTTTCTCTTATATTTTTAAAGTGCTTCACCGTAAGATGCAAGACTAAAAATTCAAAGTGGACAGATACACCACCTAACTTTGCTATACGAGGAGGGCTCATTGAGTACACACACTGTACAGAGCTATAAAAAATCAAGTACAAAGTTTTTAAGCCGTCAAGTATTTGTCTTGTACTGGTGACGGAAAAGCGGCAGCACCCCAGTCGTCGGCATTTGATCGGTGGTTGTGTTGAGCTAGTTCTGTTCCGAACTGTTGTTTCTTTTAACATCGACACGAATATAGCATATTTAATAGTGTTTGGGTTTGCTGAGAGATGTGTGCAAACAAGCTGTTAGCAGACGGAAGCGGGGAAACCCGGGCAGCCGGATAACATACGGAAAGAGCATGTTTGCGGTACAAAATAGAAACACGTGTTGCAGTTATTGCAGCTAACGTTAGTATTCGGCGACTCACAAAGAAAATTCTGTTTGATGTAGTAAATCAAACTAGTGCCAAAAATACGTTTTTTTTAAGGAGTACTATTTTTGGAAGAGAAATTGTTCGAGCTTTTTGAAAAAATTTGTAAATAATAATTCTAAACATTTGTGAACCGAGCGCGTGAAAAACATTTTGATCGCGCGAACTTGGTGAAACATTAATTGTAAGTAGACGTATAGAGAAATACATCTTATTTACATGTGTGTGTGTGTGTGTGGTTTGTCGTTAATAAATAATACTATAATTGAAGTGTGTTAATTATGTTACCTAAAAATATCATTATACAAACTATATAATGCTTGTGTCGCTGTACAGACTTGAAACAGCGACCCCTGGGCTCTTTCAACCTCGCCGTTGAAGCAACGTCGTTGTATTACATAATCTAATAAAGGATTTATATATGTTATACATTCATATGTTTGAAAACTACTATAAAACTGATTGAAGAAAACAACCTAGTTTAGGACGTAAGGGATCAATATGAGAAGGACTCAGTTCCTGTTTGCAAATGCCTGATTGCGCGATCTATTCTCTTACCACTGAGAAGTTTTAAAACGTTAAGTGGTGTGGACTTTGAGTAACCTCGTCGGACCCTAATTAGATTAGCTCATTTGCGCCGGTTGCTTAGTCAGTTCAGAGAAAATATCTGCACACCATGCGTACATAGTCGCAAAATTCAAGTTGGCGATACTTCGCGTGTTGAAAGGCGAGAAGTTGGTTAATTGATTGTACAGTGAGGGCTCTAAAAATGCAGCATGTCAAGTTCCTATCTAATTTATAGTATGAATACCGTATGGCACTAAGAAAATACATATTGATATGTCTAGAAATACTTTTTGTCGTTTTGAGATCTTAGATTTCTTCTAGATATTTTAATTGATTACTTTCAAGTTGAAATACAGCTGGCTCATATGCGGAAATTGTATTTATATGTTGCCGTGGCGATAAGTGACCTTTAATCGCGTTGCAGGTTGACGTCTAAATCTACGTAAACCAAACGAGCGGTGGTGCCATGGCGTCCAGTGATTCAAGTGATTACAAAGAGGAAGAGTTGGAGGCCACCGATATCTTATGCGTCTTCTGTGAGGACGTGCTGTCTGACGAGCATCAGTTAAAGAAGCATTGCGTCACTGGGCACAGTATTGATATATTTAAGGTTTTCGGCCAGTTAGGAGATACTTTTCATGTAATTAAAGCAATCAACTATCTTCGAAAGATACGACCTTCGCCTGATGAATTTAATCAATTAGCGAAAAAATCGTCGCGGCCTTGGGATCCTGAAGAATTTCTTCAGCCTGTTGTTCCTAATGATCCTCTGTTGCTAATTGACTTCGACGATGCGTTCATTAAGCATTCAACTCACATCGCCAATACAGATATGAATGACGTGGACATTCTTAGGCAGAGCCTTCAGTTTGCCTGCGAGCGTATTGCTCATATGCGGAAAACTGCGAGAGCAATACTCGGTGATGACGACGATGGACCTTCGAAAACAAAAGGTGACCATAACAGCATGGTGATATCCTCGCTCAAAGTGAGCGATGACAGAGACTACATTGACTCGTATTCGCACTGCGCCATTCATCAGGATATGTTGCAGGACATCGACCGCAATGAAGCATACCGCCTTGGGATTGTGGCCAATAAAAAACAAATTGAGGGAAAAACTTGTCTGGATGTTGGTTGTGGAACAGGTATTTTGTCAATGTTTCTTGCCAGAGAGGGTAAGGCAGCTAAAGTCCAAGCTGTTGACTTTTCTGAAATCATCTATACAGCAATGGATATAATTCAGGAGAACAACTACCAAAATGTGGTGACGTTTAAAAAAGGGAAATTTGAAGATCTTGTTAGTAGAAGAGATGACATTGATGGCCTTGTAAAGGTTGGTGTTATCGTGTCAGAATGGATGGGCTATTTTCTGTTATATGAAAGCATGCTAGATACCGTGATCACGGCAAGAGATACGCTTTTAGAGTCAAACGGAATAATTTTGCCCTGCAAAGCATCCATGTTTCTGACTATCTCAGATAAAATCGAGCTCTATGAAAGAAACGTTACTTATTGGGATAACGTATACGGCTTCAAGATGACTAGCATGAAGAGACTGTCATTGACCGAATCTCTTGTTGAAATTTGCCATGACAAAGACATCTGCGGAACTGAAGCTGAATTTAAGAAGTTTGATATGTACACCGTAACTGTAGAGGAAACGGTCTCGTTTAGCTCGACGTTTGACATTATAGCCACACGGGACGCGAAGGTGGTCGCATTCGTCGGTTACTTTAATGTTTACTTCGACTCTGATGAAAAGGTATTACGATCACCGTACAAAGAATTGCATATGGAATGAGCATTACGCTTTGTGCCAATGAGCACGAAGAGCACACCCTGTCCCGATAAGCCCATCTCAGGGATCTTACAAGTCATTTCGATCTTAGCAAAATAAAAAGAATAATAACAGTACTAACATTGCATTGTTTCAGGTGGTGCTTTCTACTCGTCCGGTTTCTGTGAAGATGGCATCGACACATTGGAAGCAAACGATCTTTCTGTTACCCGGGCTTATTACTTTAAAGAAGGATGGACATGTTCGAGGAACAATACGGGTCAGAAGAAACCCAAAACATCGACGAAGTCTCGAAGTTGACATAGAACTGCAAAATGGACCTGTTTTAAAGTATACCGTGTGATCTAGAAAATCTATAGTAGTAGAAAAAAAAAAAAAAAAAAAATATATATATATATATATATATCTAGAAGCGGTTGAAGAAAGGCACAACTCTCAGATTGGGAATATTCTTTACGAGGACGTAGGCTTATCTTTTCAGAGCAGGAACACGTTGGGTGAACCTTGTATCAGCACAGCGCATTCTTATCGTATAATTTCATCTATGCAATACTAATCATTGAATTACTTACTATGTCTGTATGTATATAATTCATGAAAAACCATATGCATTTTACTAGCAAGATAGTTTCTTGGCGTAGGTTACAAGGTCATATACCTTTGTCGCTTATTACAGGTATAACAACACCCAGGTGATTTGTAAATAGTGAAAGCAATTCGCAGAATTCTTGTAAACAGCTCGTCCTGATTAAAAGTACTAGAGCCCAAAGAAATGCATTATTTTGTAATTTCTACCACGATTTTCCGTTGCTAGATTTCAACAGTAACTCTGATCAAGTGGCGAGTGAGAAGAATTGTTTCTCAAGCTAAGCCTGATTATGACTTATTTATAAATAGTCCATTCACGTTTTATTTTTCCCAACTATGAATAAAAATTGGTCTTCGTTACACGAAGAAACATCAACGGACCGGACAACTGGCAAGCATTAAAGCTATGTTCTGATTTCAAAATAGGTATCATTAAATAAATATATACTACAATGACGGTTTTATATGCAAGACTGTGAACATGCTTGGCTTTGAATTTTCTCGTAGCTACCTATACCGCGTTAGATTTCTATGCGCTTGAAGTCTGATAACATGTAATATATACATTTTTCCTTTTTAGTATGATGACTCCAGTTTTGATTGAAAGGTTTTTATACGGACAGAAACTAACGCTTGTCAGTATTTCGATCCTCTAGAGGTACTAACTTATCATAATAAGTAGCTCGTCCACAATAACCAGATGTATAATGTTCTACTTCAGAATTTTTTTTTTTTTGTATCCTTTAGTTGATTTTGCTAAATGGTTTCAGCAATGGCAACAATTGCTAAAGAATAAAAATGTAGGTTCAACTTGAGATCTTTTTATCGACACGAATAGAATCGGCATTAGAAATTGTGAAAAAGCAATTAATAAAAGCAACAAATCTCTTTGAAAAAAACAATCCTCTATTTGCTTTTGCTTTTTCTTATAGCAGTGGGACCATATTTAGCAACATATAATAAATATTGCAGAAGACTAGAACTACGGGCACTTCTGTGTAGCTATAATTACTAATAATCTTTAGATACCTGCTGCTGCAAAATGGATACTTTTCTACGCTAAGTCTACACACATCAGATACGGATCAAATAGCGAAGTAAAAGGCTGTCCTGTATAAGAAAGTGTTTGGAATTAATTTTGACAATCATTCTTCTTTGCTAAACAATGAATGAAGGAAGGAAGGGTGCTTGTTATATTTAAAGTAAGCAATGGGGCTAAAGATTAATAGAGCTGAGTATAGACGTCTTTCTGTGAGACGAATTGAATTACGTACGCTTACTTGGCATTTGCAAGTCGTCAGCTAATAAAAAAAAAAAAACGTAGCCTTCTATCTCGAATTTATTATATACTCGCCGTCAGTCTCTATGACCTTCTTCCATTCCTCAGCAAATTTACTTACGTTCTTTTGCTAGAAATGTTAAATACGGTATTGAACGAGTCATCCTGCCAACTTTTAAGATTTTCCTTATTGATAAATGCACTGCTGCGAATTTCGTTCGCCAGTGGGAAAATGGTTTGCAAAAGATGGCAATCCGTCGGAGTAAAATTTAGGGTGCATGGTAGGCGGAAAAGAATCTACTACTGAAGCTTTCACACAATGATTTCAACATTTACTTTTTCATTGACGTAGAAACACCAATCCTCGACATGTACAAGATACTATGTAGCAACCTGTTATTCTAGCTTTGTGTTGCCCGTTGTTTATTATTGATAACAATAAGAAGCCATGTTTCGTTGCGATCGCTACCCAGTTTATGGGACACCCAGGCTTCTATTTGAAGACAATGGGCGGCTGACTGCAGTCCATCTTTTTGGACAAGTCACGAGTTGTTCGCTTACTGAATTTAGATGATCGTCATTGATCTGAGATGGGCAACCGGGACGGGGTATAACAAACAAGTTCCAAGATGCCCGAGGTAAACTTTTTAAAACTCTTCAAGCAATCCGCCCAGACATTGAGCCCATATTACATAAAATACAAATATCCTAAACTTTTTCGGCAATTAGTCAGTCTCGGCGAGCGGCAAAAAATTGTATGTGGTGAAAATGCATGAAAAACGTAAATTTCGGTGTCTGAACTGAAGGTAAAATTCTGTTCAATCAAGTGCAGAAGCAGAAAGAACAGTCTCGAATGCTATATAAAGTTGAACAAAGAGTGAAGAGGCCAACCGATATTTGAAAAATGGCTATTGCTTCCGCACCTACCTGATGGGTGAAAGCTTGCCATAATCGTAACTGCGCATAAACAATTAATAGATTTTTCATATATTTTTTTTCTGTAAATGTATTCTAGTTATCTCTTTACTTGAAGCTGCTTTCTTAGTATGGATCTATCGTTTGTACATTAATTAGTGCCCGCGAAACCATCGCTATAGTAGCAGTTTCTTGTTATTATTATTATTTTTTACGGATACCTTTTCGGTTTTTGGGATAAATTAAATAAAGCAATTTCTACTAATTCAGATCTTCAGATGACTCAGATCCTGTAGAATATCTGATTCGTGCAAAATAATGCGTTCCTATTGGAGCATAGTGGTTTTCCGTGTTCGAATAACTAAGCTTATGTAAGGTTTAGTCGCCTATTGTGTTGTGTATGTCTGTCAAATTTGCCCTACTAGATATGAAATTGGCTATGTCATTCACACCCCTACAATGGCTTCATAGTAAGTTCTTGTAGCGCATGTGGCTCCGTGGCCAAGTGGCAAGGCGTCTGTCTTGTAAACAGAAGATCGTGGGTTCGAACCCCGCCGGGGCCTTCACACTTTTTTGTGAAAGTTGATTGATATGAGTTGGAAGAGCTGGATGGGCGAAAATTGGTTATTTAAATAGAAGGGCAGCCATGCTAAACATTACTCGAAGTACTTCAGTAGGCTTACAAGTTATCACATCAAATAGGGTAACAACACAGACTGTAATCTAAGCGTAACAAGGCGAATTGAAACAAACACCTTACCCGTAATTTATTGGGCGAGATCGTCAAAGAACGTAGCAATCAAAACTATCGCTATATCATTGATTACAGTTCATAATTTTGCAAAGAAATTTCAAAATATGCCTCAAAAGTTATAAATATTGATTACCATGGGCGAATTGTCATTTGCGTTAATCAACTCACTGGTTTCCGTGTGGTTGTTTTTCCAGTTCGAAATTCTCATTTAAATTAAATATCAATTTACGATAAACGTGTGCAAATTATATAGAACATGTGCTTCTAAAATAAGAAAGAACTTGCGAATATACGAATAGAAAACCGACTTTGTCTAAAAAGGCTCGTTCTTTTGTACATGTATTATAATTACTAATAATTATGTAAACTCGGATCAAAGTTAGCGATCAGCATACGATTAGCCCAACCGAAATTCCACATGTATTTCAACAAAATATATACTATATGATAAAAATAATTAAAAAATAAATATTATCATATTAAAAAATATTTTTTCTTGTAAAGGAGTCTTTTGGGGATTAATATGTATGCGAATAGATACTAATTAATTTATTGCATTGAAAAATATCTAGAATGGAACAAATGGTTTTTAGCACACGCAATAAATACAACAACAGCCTTATCGATCTGCATATGTTATGTGCATTTTATAAATACATATAACGTATGCGGGATAATGCTATGAAAAAAATATTTTTATTCATACTTATACATACATAGGTTACAAGAAAGTTGTATGCATAATTTAGGTAAATAGTACATATGAACCCTAATCGAGTAAAGCAGACTAGTCATTATTTCTTGCGTTTCGCGGACAGCACTTAATAGCTTTTAGGTACCCATCGTTAGTGTGTATCCGGGCAGGCAACCTAAAAAAAAAAAAGCAAAAAATGTTTGCAAAGATTGCAGTTAACTATTTCTTTTATACTATCATAGGACAGACCTAATTTAACAAAAGCCGTTATACAGAGTTTATCATCATTTTAATCGCAGTGCTTAACCTAATGTAAAAGTCGTGTGGGTGGTGTTCAAGAAATGATGGTGTCTTTTATTGAATATCAGGTTTATTAATTATGGGTTAAATGATTTTGTTCGTGCTGGAAGCCAGCCGTTTGATGGTGTGCCTAGTGGCGAAAAATAAAGAACTCTATACTCTATGCTGCTTCTATTATTGCTATTTATAGAGGCTATAACTAATAACCCAGTATTGTAATTACCTCTTCTTTAAAGGGCTTTCTTTACTTTCACTAAAAATAATTGTACACATGAGCAAGGACACGATAGAAACCAAGAGTTAATATTTCACAGCCAGTACCTCCTTGGTGAGAATTGTGCTAGATCTTGTCCCAAACTTTGCTGCTCATTAAATAACACTGCCAGGTTGGTTTTGACGAACTTAGCTTCATTTATGCTCAGTTGCTCAGTATGGTTAACGATTAAGAACGTTTGATAATCACCCTTTAATTTTTCATCATTTCATAAATTATTCAATGGAGACAAATACTTCACATACCTGTTCTACGTCCGCCCAGTCTTGCTCAACCTCATTCTTCTTTAGAATCTCATTAATGGCATCTTGTGAATCTGGGGGTAGGCTCTTGGTACGGGTCGAAACATAATATGTTTCTGCAAACGTGTGAACACAATAGGTATCATAAGTGAACATTTTGAAACAAAGTTAATTTAGATAGAAGTTAGGAACTTGATATCTATGGTAAATTACGAAGCCGTAATTTTAAGTCTCGTAAAGCGACACATCTCTTCGCGTGAAGACATGGGTGTACTGAGCTGAATGTAAATCCCATGTGTACATGAAATAAAAACAAGTCACTTTATTTACAAATAAGGGTTTCCATCGAAGCATACTTTGTAGCCTATTTCCAAAATCGTGCCATTCTTACCTTTAGGGCCGTTAACCCCAAATCCGACCATCCAGTTGGTATAATCGGTGCCAAGGACATTCACCGCAATTTTCTCCTCTACCGCAATGAAATATAGTTCATAACGAGCAACGAGAGCAATAAAAGTGGTAATATCGATGTTAATAAACGTTAATTATATTGATATAATATACATATAATATGTGTATAACTCGTAATACTGACATACCTAATAAACGCTTACTATGCGTTGTCACCTACAGATCATGTATTCACGAGGGGACTGGTGAACCAGTAGGAAGGATTAGAGAAGTTTGTTCTAGCTTTCAAAGACCAATGTTGAAATGAAAGTATTATGAAAATATATTTACTAGTTTTCTAGGTAACTTTTAGTTCATTTGGAACGCGATCTCGAACTTTCGAAAATAGGTGTGACTGAAACAACTGACGGTCCTATCAATGCATGCAATAACCAGAGATATTAATGAAGGCGAAATGCATATACATACGTGTCGATTCGAAGAAGAACCGAGATTTCAATGCACGATCATCGACGATATTAAATTGCGTCTCTACGTATTCACCGCTAAAAACAAAAATCATATCACGCATCATTCATCAGGGTGCTTACTGAGAGACCAAGATTTTACGTAACACGTAAGCAGTAGTGTTCCTTTTAGCATAGGTATGACTACGAAATGCTCGTGCTTTATGGCGAACATCGTGAACGAAAACCGGTTTATACTTCTACATCTGCTACGTTTAACCTCAACATACATTCAGTTCAATAAAAAAACGTGATGTCTCCTTAAACGAAATTTACGTACAGAAGGATCTTCCGTGTCTAGGTCCGAGGGACGTTTAAATGAATAGCTCAACCTAAAGTACAAAGCAATTGGTTCAGGCCCGGGCATGCAACATGTATAGAAAGTCATGGTGCAACGAAAAAATATCAAAGACAACAGAAACGCTTCCGTTAACTCCAGCAGTAGATAAACGAAAGACATACGCAGAATTAATCCAATAAGACGTCATCGAGTAGATATCGTCAATGTTGGGATCATGCTTAAGGTTATACTTGATGCATTTGATCGAATCGAACAATTTCGTATTTCGACGAATAACGAACCAGGTACCCTGTATCTGTCGAACAGAAATAGCAAACCATTAATGAATGACCATTTTTGATGAGCTAATATTTTTCAGTTATGGGCCAGTAAATCATCGAATATGGGTTTCGTTAAGCACAAGCTTCTTTATTAGATCTGAACCTAGAATGTTTTCAAATGTGGCAAAATTATCTTTCTCTATTTTGTGTGGTTCTCAAATAAGATTAGGCTGAAGCTCATAAGTTTGACAAGCACAACGACGTGCACAAAGTTTTGGGATATTTTCTTTGCGGATTCAGTAAGTAAATAAACCGCCCAGAAACAAGGATGGAGGATGGCGTCATTGAAACAACACAACCTACACACTTAGGTCAACTCATTGCTGTTTTTTGAACAAATATTGCCAGGACGTCTTTGCTTTTTGAGAATGAAATGCAGTTTTCGCGCCCGGGTTAATTTTCTCCTTTTTTAAGCTAAAATCGTCATTATAAAGTAGACAAAAAGCTCGCCACGTTTCTGTGGTTTGCAGCTGAAGAATAACATGCAATTACTTGATTGAGCAGTACTTGATTGATACCTAAGTTGACAAGTGTGAGAATCGAATCCATGCTATATGACGATACATTTTATCATACAGGGTAATTAATCTATAGAATTGGACTTGTCCATGCAAGTGAAAGTTTCATATATCCTTTATTCTGGTTACTATCAGTTAAACCTGAAGGACCTAACCGATTGGAACATAGAGGAAACCAACCGCCAGATGTAAGACACACAGATCCACTGTATATCAGCATAGGGAGATGCACAAATGGTCGAATGTCTCATAATACATACATCGGACAACAATGTATAATTATACGGCTCTTTTTGTACGTTCTATTCCACCTCTAGAACAACCGTTCTAGAATCGTTTCCTACAAACAGCTTACTGTAAAACAAGTCTTATGTCAAGTTACCTTCTCTGGATCGAAGTTCTCCATAGGGATGATTTTTTTTCCAAGCGTATCACTAAAAAGATGCAAGAAGATGCAGACAGCACCAATGCAATGAGCACGCATTATACTAAGTTACCAAATTGCAAAGGGCGTAATCAACAAGTTGCAGAAGTTGACCTAACGATCTCATTGAACAACGACACATTACCTTTATAGCCTCGAGTTGTCAATTCTTGTATCGGTCTTGATCTGACCAACAAGAGACATCATTAATCTTCCAAATCGCCGTTACATTTTTTCTAACATAGCTGACAACCGAAAGATGCAAATTGATCGGAGAATGAACTGCCTGTCTAAATTTGGCGTCTTGTAAATTAGAATAATGGTTAGAATCGATTAATCTGAATATTTATTACGGCGATTCGTCCTTGATTTCAATAGCTCTCCACTATGATGCCTAACATGGAGAAGTCTACTAAAAACGGCTATAATATAACAAGCTGCTTTTAATCATAAGCGAAGTTTGACCGCATTTAAGTGCTGTTCGTCAAAAACGAGTTGAAAAGTTATTGGAGAGAATTAACTAAAAACAGTTTTGTTTTGTCAGAAAATTGCTTAACTCTGTATTACAAGGACAAATGGAAAATACAAGCCAGCAATAGTATATAGGAACCTCACAGGTTTATATGGATAATCATATACACAAACTTTACCGTTAACCTTCACAAATATTGTAAATGCAGTGATAATATCTGTCATCAGTAAACTATTTTCTGTATGGAAACAAAACCCCAAAGACTGGGAAAGACTTGTTTACCATAGCTCTTACAATAGCTGATACTGTAACCAATAGCAGCCGCCGAAACAACGAAAGTGCATGTATACACATATATATATATATAAAAAGGTAGTTATCAACAACTGTTCAACTCCGAGTGAATAGCCCTATCCTTGCGCAGTCTTTTGGGTTTATGTAAATAATTTTATTAATTGTAATAACAATCGCTTGGGTTGGTTAGCAATTTGTAGTACAATAATACAATATTAATATTATAATATATATATATAT